TATTTTCAATTTTCGATCGCAAATATCTCGATAACCAAAAGAGATAAAGACAAACGGACTTCAGATTCTTGTTCAGCACATCAAGAACACCCTGTATGCAAGTTTACAGCCCATTCTGACGCCTTGAGTTTGGTGAAAAAAGTTCAAAGGGGTTAACCTTGTTTATTTTTCAGACCAAAAAATCAACTTTGTCGTAGGGCTTTCAAATTTGGTATACAGGGTGTTTGTGGAATACCCTAGTGCGGAGTAGAAGCATAGTTCTCTAACGTTCATAATAAAAAAGTAGCAATTTTTCACCTGCTTTTCTGTCGTTGCGGTACCTTTGATATCAAATGGCTCGATCTAGTACCTCCATTGACTGGAGATCGATGTCACGGGAACTATACTCAAGTTTTGTCTAACCGCAATTAATTTTGCTTATGGAAGCAATTCCTAGCCATCATTTCAGCGATCTATCAGAATTTATTTTCAATTTTCGATCGCAAATATCTCGATAACCAAAAGAGATAAAATCAAACGGACTTCAGTTTCTTGTTCAGCACATCAAGAACACTCTGTATGTAAGTTCACAGCCCATTCTGACGCCTTGAGTTTGGTGAAAAATGTTCAAAAGGGTTAACCTTGCTCATTTTTCAGACCAAAAAATCAACTTTGTCGTAGGGCTTCCAAATTTGGTATACAGGGTCTTCGTGGAATGCCCTAGTGCGGAGTAGAGGCATAGCTCCCTATCTTTCATAATGAAAAAGTAGCAAGTTTTCACCTGCTTTTCTGTCGTTGTGGTACCTTTGATGTCAAATGGCTCGATCTAGTACCTCCATTGACTGAAGATCGAGATTTCCTTGCCATCATTTCAGCGATCTATCAGATTTTTTTTTCAATTTTCGATCGCAAATATCTCGAGAACCAAGTGAGATAAAAACAAACGGACTCCAGATTCTTGTTCAGCACATCGAGAACACCCTGTATACCAGTTTTCAGCCAATTCTGATGCTTCGAGTTAGGTGAAAAAAGTTCCAAGGGGTTAACCTTGTTCATTTTTCAGACCAAAAAATCAACTTTGTCGTAGGGCCTTCAAATTTGGTATACAGGGTCCTCGTGGAATACCCTAGTGCGGAGTAGAAGCATAGCTCTCTAACTTTCATAATAAAAAAGTAGCAAGTTTTCACCTGCTTTTCTGTCGTTGCGGTACCTTTGATATCAAATGGCTCGATCTAGTACCTCCATTGACTGGAGATCGAGAAATTCCTTGCCATCATTTCAGCGATCTATCAGATTTCTTCTTCAATTTTCGATCGCAAATATCTCGATAACCAAAAGAGATAAAGACAAACGGACTTCAGATTCTTGTTCAGCACATCAAGAACACCCTGTATGCCAGTTTTCAGCCAATTCTGATGCCTCGAGTTAGGTGAAAAAAGTTCCAAGGGGTTAACCTTGTTTATTTTTCAGACCAAAAAATCAACTTTGTCGTAGGGCTTCCAAATTTGGTATACAGGGTCCTCGTGGAATGCCCTAGTGCGGAGTAGAAGCATAGTTCTCTAACGTTCATAATAAAAAAGTAGCAAATTTTCACCTGATTTTATGTCGTTGCGGTACCTTTGATATCAAATGGCTCGATCTAGTACCACCATTGACTGGAGATCGAGAGATTCCTGGCCATCATTTCAGCGATCTATCAGAATTTATTTTCAATTTCCGATCGCAAATATCTCGATAACCAAAAAAGATAAAGACAAACGGACTTCAGATTCTTGTTCAGCACATCAAGAACATCCTGTATGCAAGTTTTCTGCCCATTCTGATGCCTCGAGTTTGGTGAAAAAAGTTCAAAGGGGTTAACCTTGCTTATTTTTTAGACCAAAAAATCAACTTTGTCGTAGGGCCTCCAAATTTGGTATACAGGGTCCTTGTGGAATGCCCTAGTGCGGAGTAGAAGCACAGTTCTCTAACGTTCATAATAAAAAAGTTGCAATTTTTCACCTCATTTTCTTTTGTTGCGGTACCTTTGATATCAAATTGCTCGATCTAGTACCTCCATTGACTGGAGATCGAGAAATTACTTGCCATCATTTCAGTGATCTATCGGACTTTTTTTTTTCAATTTTCGATCGCAAATATCTCGAGAACCAAGAGTGAGATAGAAACAATCGGACTTCAGATTCTTGTTCAGCACATCAAAAGAACACCCTGTATGGAAGTTTACAGCACATTCTGACACCTTGAGTTCGGTGAAAAAAGTTCAAAGGGGTTAACCTTGTTTATTTTTCAGACCAAAAAATCAACTTTGTCGTAGGGCCTCCAAATTTGGTATACAGGGTCCTTGTGGAATGCCCTAGTGCGGAGTAGAAGCACAGTTCTCTAACGTTCATAATAAAAAAGTAGCAAGTTTTCACCTGCTTTTCTGTCGTTGCGGTACCTTTGATATCAAATGGCTCGATCTAGTACCTCCATTGACTGGAGATCGAGAAATTCCTTGCCATCATTTCAGCGATCTATCAGACTTTTTTTTTCAATTTTCGATCGCAAATATCTCGAGAACCAAGTGAGATAGAAACAAACGGACTTCAGATTCTTGTTCAGCACATCGAGAACACCCTGTATACCAGTTTTCAGACCATTCTGATGCCTCGAGTTTGGTGAAAAAAGTTCCAAGGGGTTAACCTTGTTCATTTTTCAGACCAAAAAATCAACTTTGTCGTAGGGCCTCCAAATTTGGTATACAGGGTCCTTGTGGAATGCCCTAGTGCGGAGTAGAAGCATAGCTCTCTAACTTTCATGATAAAAAAGTAGCAAGTTTTCACCTGCTTTCCTATCGTTGCGGTACCTTTAATATCGAATGGCCCGATCTAGTACCTCCATTGACTGGAGATCGATGTCACGGGAACTATACTCAATTTTTGTCTAACCACAATGAATTTGGCTTATGGGAGAAATTCCTTGCCATCATTTCAGCGATCTATGAGATTTTTTTTTTCAATTTTCGATCGCAAATATCTCGATAACCAAATGAGATAAAGACAAACGGACTTCAGATTCTTGTTCAGCACATCAAGAACACCCTGTATGCAAGTTTTCAGCACATTCTGAAGCCTCGAGTCAGGTGAAAAAAGTTCAAAGGGGTTAACCTTGTTTATTTTTCAGACCAAAAAATCAACTTTGTCGTAGGGCCTTCAAATTTGGTATACAGGGTCCTTGTGGAATGTTCTTGTGCGGAGTAGAAGCATAGCTCTCTAAGTATCGTAATAAAAAAGTAGCGATTTTTCTCCTGCTTTTCTGTCGTTGCGGTACCTTTGATATCAAATGGCTCGATCTAGTACCTCCGTTGACTGGAGATCGAGAAAGTTCTTGCCATCATTTCAGCGATCTATCAGATTTTTTTTTTCAATTTTCGATCGCAAATATCTCGAGAACCAAGTGAGATAGAAACAAACGGACTTCAGATTCTTGTTCAGCACATCGAGAACACCCTGTATACCAGTTTTCAGCCCATTCTGATGCCTCGAGTTTGGTGAAAAAAGTTCAAAGGGGTTAACCTTGCTTATTTTTCAGACCACAAAATCAACTTTGTCGTAGGGCCTTCAAATTTGGTATACAGGGTCCTTGTGGAATGCCCTTGTGCGGAGTAGAAGCTGAGTTCTCTAACGTTCATAATAAAAAAGTAGCAATTTTTTACCTGCTTTTCTGTCGTTGCGGTACCTTTGATATCAAACGGCTCGATCTAGTACCTCCATTGACTGGAGATCGAGAAATTCCTCGCCATCATTTCCGCGATCTATCAGAATTTATTTTCAATTTTCGATCGCAAATATCTCGATAACTAAAAGAGATAAAGACAAACGGACTTCAGATTCTTGTTCAGCACATCAAGAACACCCAGTATGCGAATTTCTAGCCCATTCTGATGCCTCGAGTTGGGTGAAAAAAGTTCAAAGGGGTTAACCTTGTTTATTTTTCAGACCAAAAAATCAACTTTGTCGTAGGGCCTTCAAATTAGGTATACAGGGTCCTTGAAGAATGCCCTAGTGCGGAGTAGAAGCACAGCTCCCAATCTTTCATATTAAAAAAGTAGCAAGTTTTCACCTGCTTTTCTGTCGTTGCGGTTCCTTTGATATCAAACGGCTCGATCTAGTACCTCCATTGACTGGAGATCGAGAAATTCCTTGCCATCATTTCAGCGATCTATCAGAATTTATTTTCAATTTTCGATCGCAAATATCTCGATAACCAAGGGAGATAAAAACAAACGGACTTCAGATTCTTGTTCAGCACATCGGGAACACCTTGTATGCGAATTTTCAGCCCATTCTGATGCCTCGAGTTTGGTGAAAAAAGTTCAAAGGGGTTAACCTTGCTTATTTTTCAGACAAAAAAATCAACTTTGTCGTAGGGCTTTCTAATTCGGTATACAGGGTGTTTGTGGAATGCCCTAGTGCGGAGTAGAAGCATAGCTCTCTAACTTTCATAATAAAAAAGTAGCAAATTTTCACCTGGTTTTCTGTCGTTGCGGTACCTTTGATATCAAATGGCTCGATCTAGTACCTCCATTGAGTGGAGATCGAGAACGTTCTTGCCATTATTTCAGTGATCTATCGGACTTTTTTTCAATTTTCGATCGCAAATATCTCGAGAACCAAGTGAGATAAAAACAAACGGACTTCAGATTCCTGTTCAGCACATCAAGAACACCCTGTATGCAAGTTTTCAGCCCATTCTGATGCCTCGAGTTTGGTGAAAAAAGTTCCAAGGGGTTAACCTTGTTCATTTTTCAGACCAAAATATCAACTATGTCGTAGGGCCTTCAAATTTGGTATTCAGGGTCCTTGTGGAATGCCCTAGTGCGGAGTAGAAGCATAATTCTCTTACATTATAAATAAAAAAGTAGCAATTTTTCACCTGATTTTCTGTCGTTGCGGTACCTTTGATATCAAATGGCTCGATCTAGTACCTCCATTGACTAGAGTTTTCTTGGTGAAAGGGAGGTTTCAAGTAAAATTCCATTTTGTAAAAAAATCGTCCGTATATTGACCATATCATTATATACATCGTTATTATATATTTACTAATACATACTTAGTACATATCAACGTGGAACTGTTTCTATAATATAGTTACATGAATATCATCCTTTTGTACAAAACATTTTTTTTTCTAAAATATCTAGAAAACTACTTTTGATTCACCTTTGGGTATAAAACTCTACATTTCTAATTTCGTTTCGATCTTTTGTCATATGTAGTACGTTGAAACTCAAATTCTAAAAGTATAGTACAAGTCGGTTTGATGAAATTCTCAGTTTTAATTCCAAAATGCATGAATAGAATTTGAACCAATCATCTAATTGAGAGGAAACTTAGGCCGATATCTACTCTTTGACATAATATTTAGACAGTCAGTCGTACCGGAAATAGTCAACAATTTTCAATCTATACAAATTCAAACTTTTTTTTTTTCGACCGTTTCATTGGTCCTGCAATTACACTATATACTTTGCTCCGATTATTAGTGCCCTATATAACGAGTGGACGAATATTGTCAACGGGGAATAGAATATCAAAGTTTAAGTAAGTATACAGGGCGTGAATAAAGTATGGCATGAATTCATTACCATCCAAACCGGAAAATATTCGAAAATATCCATTTCTGATGAGTTCCGAATATTGTTGGTGCAATCAGAAATTAAAATCGAACTACCCGATGATTTTTTCGCAATGTTTTGGCAAGGGAAAAAAATTTATTCCATACTCCATATGCACACCCTATATTATGTTATTTGAGAGTACACAGAATATTTAGTAATAAGCAATAATATCTTGTTGAGAATATTCGTTCTGATGATATTTTGAACAAATAATAAAGAGAGATTCAAGAATTTTCACTACTTTCACAGAAAAAAATTGTGATGGGTGGTGAGAAATACGGATTTCAGCTATACGTCAATAAATGTACCCCTCTCGATAACAACCGATTTACTTCGGCAATTTTTAATTACTGTCTTATTTTCGGAGATATCCGGAGTGGGTCCATGTCAGAAAATCACCTTGTATAATAATTGCACAAATATTTGGATCGTGGTCCAATCAGAATCATTCCCAGTCGAGAGACAATAATTCACATAATAACAACTTACAATAAAATACCTCTATTTTTACATAAATATAAATTTGTGAAAGCAATTTTTAAATAAAGCGGCATAAATTCGACCAAAAAAAAAATGTTTCAGAAAGCATCACGCGGAATAGTTTCTCCATTTCCCAATCAGAATTCACGAACTTGATGCCCTAGCGACACCCTCTAATAACCCAGAAATCATTCGTATAAAGAGACACCCTGTATACAGGGTGATAACTTTGACTGTGGAATAAATACGCAAGCAAGGAGATAATTATTTTTCCTGGAAATTCTTGACAAACGTCAACGTTTCAATGTATTCACCTACATTTGGCAAGCAATTTGGAAAATACCGGGTTACATAGGAGACAATAAGTGACAGCCTGTAGTTTTTTTTACTTGTCAGTAATTTTTTACTAATGAATTCGTTCCTTAATAAAACGGATCTATTTTCTAGGAAAGTTGCAGATTATATCTTGCAACAGCGCTTAATACTTCGAGTCCGTCCACACCACTCAAAATACTGACAGGCACATCAAGAGGAAGGAGCCATGGGTGTCGGCTTCATTCTCTTCTGACCGATGGCAGTAAATTAGGAAGGATATAGTATCATTGAATGTAACCGATAATGATACATTGATTCAATGATAATTTCGTTTAGGATCGAGGTCTATTCGAGATATTTCAAAGCATAAATAACAAAACCATAAAATGTCAGAATGAAGCCAACTACCCTCTGCATTCCTGCTCCGAGTGCATTTGTGGTTATGTATGTTTTTGTTTACCAGTTTTACTTCTTCTTCTATTTTTTCATTCGTTAGCTATTCGCTAGCTATACAGTGTGTCCCACTTACCATGCTCACCATGGGTATCTTTTTAACGGTAAGAGATACGAAGTCGGTTAAATGACACCAAATGTGGAGTTTGTCAAGGCCAACTATAATGTGAAAAAGTATTTTGATAAAATCTCTTCGTTTTTGTTTTATACGCAAAAAACAGATTTTGATCATTTTCATGTCTCCTCCGTAACTTCTTTATTTATGAAAATATTCAAATAGGAATTTCACATTCTCATGGCAGTTTTTCAAAGTGATTTCGAAAAAAATATGAAATTTATACCAACTCTTCTAGAATTCGAGATATCAGCACCAACTTCAGTTTTCCAAATGTAGGTCATAGCTCACTATGACTTAGTTACAAATAACTTTTTTTTTCTCTTACAGATGATATGTCGCAGTAATAGTTTTGTGTTGATAACAACGGAGTTATCATCATTTATACAATAACAAAAAATTACTTGGAAGCCGCCATCTTGAATTTATAAATTTTAACAAAAAAATTATGATCACCGACCTCAAAAACCCCCACTCACCAATTTTGAATGGAATCGGACCAAATCTTGTCCGCCATCTTGGAGCAGCCATTTTTTTAAATTTCAACAAAAATTCCATTACTCCGATTAACTCGAAATTTGGCTGGTGTTCATAATTTCGGTGACAATACATTATGGAATTTTTGTTGAAATGAAAAAAACTGGCTGCTCCAAGATGGCGGACGAGATTTGGTCCGATTCCATTCAAAATTGGTGAGTGGGGGTTTTTGAGGTCGGAGATCATGATTTTTTTGTTAAAATTTATAAATTCAAGATGGCGGCTTCCAAATAATTTTTTTGTTTTTGTATAAATGACGATAACTCCGTTGTTATCAACACAAAACTATTACTGCGACATATCATTTGTAAGAGAAAAAAAAGTTATTTGTAACTAAGTCATAGTGAGTTATGACCTACATATATTCAAAAAACTAAAGTTGGTGCTGATATCTCGAATTCTAGAAGAGTTGGTATAAATTTCATATTTTTTTTCGAAATCACTTTGAAAAACTGCCATGAGAATGTGAAATTCGTATTTGAATATTTCCATAAATAAAGAAGTTACGGAGGAGACATGAAAATGATCAAAATCTGTTTTTTGCGTATGAAACAAAAACGAATAGATTTCATCAAAATATTTTTTCACATTATAGTTGGCCCTGACAAACTCCACATTTGGTGTCATTTAACCGACTTCGTATTTCTCACCGTTAAAAAGATACCCATGGTGAGCATGGTAAGTGGGACACACTGTATTCTTCACCATCAGCTATTTTCAGACTAAAATTCAGAATTTACGTCACAGTTTTCCGCCCCGAAAATTAGAAATTGCTTTAATTTGAAAACGAAAACGAGTTGGACTTTATCGGTCGCCATTATGTACAGCGTGGACATAAAACTTCCCCATTCATGCAAGTATATTTTGATTTGACTTGACCTACGAGACTGAATGCACTTAGGAAATAGAAGGTCGTTTCAAATTAGAACAGTAAACATTTCCGTATATGAGAAACACCCTCTAAAAATGACTCTAAAACGCGTTGATGCTTTCCGGAACAATAGCAGTCTCGGCCGATTTTTCGATCCAGTCTATCAGCATCTCGATATATACACACGAAAAAAAAAGTTACAGCCAATTGGGACCCAGACAACTGTCCAACACGTCCACCGCATCGAACCTGTCCATATCGGCGAACATCCTCTTCAGTTCTGCCAACGCATCGCTATCCCTATTTCTGGCTTCCCACAAGTCCAGAATGCAGTCAGTAGGCGAAGGCTTAGTGGCGAAAAAGTTTATGTACCTGTAACCAATCAAATTCGTTATTACGAGAATGAATTCACCTATTAGGATGTAGATCTTTTCGAATTAGGACCGTTAACATTTAGGTATATGAAATGGAAATAACAATTGTTTACTGGTGGAATTATACAACTTTTGCATAGTCTTATTAAACTACTCAACACTATAATTTCGTCGCACACCAAAATGTCGCCCCTGTTATAATGTGAATAACTTTTTTCAGTTTAGAACAATTTGAATTTGGTTCACACTGTTCGATAGCCCAGTCCTTCAGCTATAATCTGGTACTTCATCGAAACATAAGGGTATTCACATAAAATCTCTACATGGTGTTTTCCGACACTGTGCGAAATTTCGGAATATTCAAAAGGCTCTCAAATGGTGAAAAAAATGTTTCTCTCAACTTCGACAACAGAGGCATGGAGATGTTCTCATTACCTCGAGATATTTCGCGAATCAACTTCCTATCTCTCTTATTTATAGAGTGATCTCAAAAAATCAACTTTTTGGTTTTGCAGCCATAACTTTTTTCCACGTCAACCGATTTTAGAAATCTTAGGCTCATTTTGAAGATAAAACTTCAGATGAAGAGATCTGATTATCAGATTTGACTCAAGATGACTATCAGAGATCTAGAGTTTTCTTGAAAGTGACCCAAATCTGGAACGCCCTTCGAATCTTGGTTGGGAGGAGAATTGAATGAAAATCAACTTGTTCTCGGTAAAACAATTCATTCTGGATGCGTCCATATTTTCCTCGCTCTCAGTAGTCAAGAATTGTGCGTGAGAAAACACAATTGAAACATGTTCTTGCGAAGACATTAGATCATTTCTCCTCTGTAATGCATGGCCCGCCGTAACCAACCTTACCAGAATCACAATGACTGACTGACAAACCCGACCAGCTGAGGCTCATCATGAAAGGTGTACCAACAAGAGCAACGGATTTTGATTTTTTCAATAAAGTGATTTTTTTAACAGTTGTCACTTACATAACATGCGATTTAAGAATATGGCGAAGTATTCAAGCAAACAACGTTTATTTATTGTAAAAACGCATTTCAAAAATGGTGAAAGTTTCACGAAAACAGTTTGCCAATTACGTAAAGTTTTCAGTCGCAATAATGCGCCGAACGAATCGACAGTAATAACCAAACAATTCGTGTCGGAGATAAGCCCTTTGAATGGATCGGACTGTCGTGTTTAGCAGATCCGCGATTTGGAGGAAAGATATCCCTTGTTCCCTCATTTGTGGAATCAGTTCTAACTGGTCGGGCGTTAGATGCGGCATCGAAACTATCAAAATCTGTTTATGATTCGAAAACGACGTCTAACCTGACTTGTCAGTCACTTACTGTGATTCTTGTAACGTTGGTTACGGGCCATGCATTGCAGAGGAGAAATAGTCTGATGTTTTTGCAAGAACATGTTTCAATTGTGTTTTCTCACGCACATTCTTGAGTACTGAGAGCGAGGAAAATATGGACGCATCCAGAATGAATTGTTTTTCCGAGAACAAGTTGATTTTCATTCAATTCTCCTCCCAACTGAGATTCGGAGGGCGTTCCAGATTTGGGTCACTTTCAAGAAAACTCTAGATCTTTGATAGCCATCTTGAGTCAATTCTGATATTCAGATCTCTTCATCTGAAGTTTTATCTTCAAAATGAGCCTAAGATTTCCAAAATCGGTTGACGTGGAAAAAAGTTATGGCTGCAAAACCAAAAAGTTGATTTTTTGAGATCACTCTGTAAATAAGAGAGATAGGAAGTTGATTCGCGAAATATCTCGAGGTAATGAAATCATCTTCATGTCTCTGTTGTCGAAGTTGAGAGAAACATTTTTTTCACCATTTGAGAGCCTTTTGAATATTCCGAAATTTCGCACAGTGTCGGAAAACACCATGTAGAGATTTTATGTGAATACCCTTATGTTTCGATGAAGTACCAGATTATAGCTGAAGGACTGGGCTATCGAACAGTGTGAACCAAATTCAAATTGTTCTAAACTGAAAAAAGTTATTCACATTATAACAGGGGCGACATTTTGGTGTGCGACGAAATTAGTGTTGAGTAGTTTAGTTCAAGCAAGTCAATTTTTTGAGGTTGGGTCAATGGGATTTTTTCATCAGTTCATTCCTATCTACAACATGCCCAACATTCAACCATTTTCAGATACTTTTTTTTCTCGAAAATATTACATTTGGAGGTCAATATCGGAAAAACTGTCAATTTTTTGAGATTAGTTCAATGGAATATCTGTTTAGTAAGGGTTGCGTGCAAGAACTGTCAGATGACCGACCCTGGAGGCCAGTGCCGGATTTATACTCCCGTACGCCGGGGGCTAACTTTTACGATGCCGCCGCGCCGCCGCCAAATATCAAATTTCAATTGTCAGTTTCAAAATTCAAATAATCCTTCCACTGCTTTTTTTACAGCATATTACAATAACATGAAATCATTATGTACAACGAATCAAATTATATTTACTTCACACGTTAAACATATAACAACAAAAAAGTACTTTTTTTTTTTCAGATGAATACTAAATCACTTTTCTTGATTTTTATCGATGCAAAGTCGTCAATGGCATCATCAAAGTTGAGATTTAATAACATGTCACTGTTAATACTTGAAATCGAAAAGCTATTCAATGTATCCTCTACCATGGAATTCCTAAGGTAGTTTTTCACTCTTTTTAAAGTTGAGAATACCACTGGCATTACTAATCATCAGGGATAGGAAAATTCTTAGAGCTACTTCCACGTTGCAAAAAGTATCTGTGATCTTGTATTTGTGCCAAAGCGCCATCAACGAAATATATAAACTGAGCCACGTGTCCAGGCCTATGCTTGAGTTTTGCAGGGACCTCTGACTCGATCTGCTCTCTCTAATATATATCATACCAGAAAACAACAAAATTTTTTTGAATTTCAGTTTCAATATTCATTTATTATCAGTACCATCACCAACAATACCAAAGACAACCTATTAAATACTGAACTCTGATTTTGTTTTTTGTTATTGAGTTAGACCATAGATTAACGACTCCCCGAAATTACCCCTACTCTACTGAGTGGAATGCGGTTTTTTTTCTCATCATCAAATGAAAAGTATGTACTGCCGCCGCTTTTGTATCGTATATAGCGTCCAAGGCACAGCTGACGCTAGATTAGTGCATGTTATGATTTTCACAAAAACAGTACCTCAACCATGGACGTATTTATACGTCCATGATCTCAACCAAGTCCTTCTAATGTGGTGCCAGCGGTAGCTAATGACTGAAGAGGCGGCATATAAAAAGCAAGAAGCAATCGGCGACGACTGTATTGCTGCTTGCTTTTTCTCTTTTTCTCTACCGCCTCTTGAAATTCACCGCCGGGGGCTGATAGTCCCATAGCCCCCCCCTAAATCCGGCACTGCTGGAGGCACAACATGGAAACACAACCTCAATAGATTTTCAAAATTATTTTGGCATACAAATCGTATTTTTTTGGCTATTTATTAATTCGCTCATGTCATCACATTGTGCTGTTGTACAATGCACAAAAACTGCAGCGGAAGACGAAGGAATCCGGTTGGTTCATTATGATTTAAAAGTAAGTACCTACTATAGTCACTCACATATAGTTTTCATTATTGAAATTTGGTAATTTCTCTGATTTCTCATTAGAATTCCTTCTGCAATAGGAGCTAATAGAAATACTCGTGAAATTTCTAAAATGAATGCAAGAAGATTGGATTCATGGTGTGTGTTGTAGACATTTTCAATCTATTAGCAGTATTAGCTTGTATTGCAGAAGTGGCAGAAGGCAGAAGGAATTTTAATAAGAAATGACAACATTTCATAATGATAACTATGTGAAAATCTGAAAAATCATATTCCTTCGTCTCTCGCTGCGTTGTACAACAGCACAATGCGAAGGCATGCTTGAATTAATGAATAGCGCAAAAAAACACGATTCGTATGCCAAAATATTGTGAAAAACTATTTCAATCCTTTGATCCCTCTGTAAACAAATAAAAAAGTGAGGTTGTGTTTCAATAATTCACAGAAGAGTGAGGTTGTGTGTCAATATTTTGCCTCCAGGGTCGGTCATCGTGCACGCGACCTATATCAAAGTCTGCAACATACCAAAAATTCAACGATTTTCATCGAGAGCCATTTTCCCTACAGTTTAGTGCGGGGTCCTTTTTGACTTCAACATTTAACATGAAGGTAGATCATCTTGTTAGTGTATATAAACAAAGACTTTGCATACCTGTCGACGCCTAGCGCGTGCGCCAACATTCGCCAATCGTTGCCCCGAGAAGTGGGCGGATCCAAGCAGTGACACAGTTGCTTCCTCAGCTGTTTACCGAGCCTGAAGTTGAAGTCGTCGCAGGTCGAAACGCCTCGATCGGTGACTATCAAGTTCTTTGCCTCCAACTTTTTGGCACTCTTCCTGCTGTCTGTGGACCTTGAGGTCTCGCTCAGCTTCGGCACGAATTCGTTGTGGTTGAACTTGCCCGAGCTGGTTTTCTCCACAGCTTCGGAGCCGTCGTCCCCGCAGGTGATATCGAACACCTGGAAGGGGATGGGAAAAATTCACTATATGTTATGAAATGAAATTTCACTTGAAACAGGTAACTTCACAAAAATGTTGTCCCATTTTCCCAAGTTCAGTTCAATAAGAAAATGAGGCTGATACTGCAGTCGTGTCCCTTCATATCATTTCACTTGATCCATAGGGACACGGCTGCTATTGCAGTACATACATAATTATGGGTATACTAAACGACAGGTTCTGTCGGCGAACGTGTTAAATCTCATAAATTTCAATAATTTACCGGAATTTATTGATATTGTTGAAATTTTCAGAAATTTTATAGAAGGTTCTAGAACCGCCACTCCATCGTGGGAAAATGAGAATTTTTCGTGCATGTGCATCCCAGCGAGCACAAACATCCCTGGGATGTTTTGGGATGTTTTGAAAATGTTGGCATGAAGATGTTATTTTGAGACGTAATATGCACTGACCAAAGAGATCTTCGAAGGGTATTGAAGTATTGTTTTTGTTCTTCTGTGGCATTTCTTTGTTTGCCTACTGAGAGGTATCTCTGGGATGTTTTGGGATGTTTTAGAAATGTAGGCATGAGGATGTTTTTTTGAGGCGTAATATGCACTTCCCAAAGAGGTCTTAGAAAGGATATTGAAAGTATTGTTTTTGTTCTTTTGTGCCCTTTCTTTGTTTGCCCCACCACAACGTCTCATGCTTATGTCACAATACGATGAATTCTGATTTGTTTTCGATTTTGTTCATCTTGTTCGCAATTGGCATTCGCGTTTGCAGCGTGTCACGCTTACATCACGCTGCTAACGAACAGAAAGGAATGTGGTGAAGTTTTTTGTGTTAGAAGACTTATTTAGTTTGTAATAATGACCATCAGATGCATGATGTGTTGTTCGGTGCCTGAGTGTAATCAATATATAAAAGTACGAATTTATCAATACACAGCTTCTCCGCAGTTGCAAAATTATGCATTGTGGAGAACATTTAAAAAATTGGGAAACCTATTTCCAATTATATGTCTGTGTGTAGTAAGCACTACTCAGAAACCGATTAAGAGGGTAATTTCATATCAAGAAAATATTTTTATGTTCAATCTATTTTCAATGCATTTTTTCATTCAAGGGAAATGGAATCCTAATGCAAAAGTTCATTTTGACAAAAGACTTCAGAAAAGTACCTCGAAAATGTTTTTTTTTACAGCGATTTAATGTACGCAAGACGCGTTGAAAATGTTTTGTTGTGTCCATGAAAAGGCTTTAAAAAGAACTAGGGAGGAGGTAGTTTTGTGACATATCAAGGACATCTCGATATAATTGCCGCCTGCGGCGGACATTGGCTGTTCTATAATAGTTCTATTCATGTGTGAACAGAACATCGCAGTGGAGGTTCAATGTCTCGAAATCTCGTACTTTTAACATCTCTGAGATGTTTTTGTGCTCGCTGGGATGTGTGTGTTTCAATAAAAGAACCAGGAGTATCTGTTATTTTTCAACATTTTTTGCCCTGACTTAGTGTAAGTATAGTGATTAAAAGTGGTTTATTACTCAGAAGGAAGAAAAAATTGCTAAAACTGACCGCAACAATGATTGCACTAGAGCTGCTGCTAGAATTTCTAACGAGCGATTCATGGCAAGAAAGTTCAGGATAAATACTGAACCTGTCTCTGAGAAGGGGGGCATTGAGTGGCCCTAGTTCTGCAGATCTAACACCACTCGACTTTTTCTTATAGGGACATCTCAAGACCAAAGTTTATGTAACTGAGCCCAACGATTATGAAAGATCTAAGGCAACGAATTGTGAAAGAATGCCGTTAGATAACACCAGAAATGTTACAGACAGTTCCTGAAAAGTTTTAATCAGATTTCACTTCAGAAAAAAATAAATAAAAGAGGAACTTGGCTCCTCCACCATTCCTATGACGTACTTTCTGAAAATCCACATTCACACAGTTAAAATACGATTCCCTCTGCCAGTACGACGTTGCCGACATCATCAATATCTCTAGATTTCCGGAAATAATTCTTCTTTGAATGCATAATAACCATATCATAACAGCAATGGGATAAAATAAAAGGTTCTTCAATCCCACTTGGTCAAGTATTATGAATAATTCCCATAAATCTCTCATTGGCTGAATGAAGTTGATTACCAATAAAGATAAATTATGATATTTTGCGATAGTATCTATGATTTTTCACTATCGTTATATTACAATATAACTTGTCAGTCATTTTTTGTTAATGAATTCGTTCCTTAATAAAACTGATCTATTTTCTAGGAAAGATGCAGATTATATCTTGCAATAGCGCTTAATACTTCGAGTCCGTCCACACCACTCAAAATACTGACAGGCACAACAAGAGGAAGGAGCCATGGGTGTCGGCTTCATTCTCTTCTGACCGATGGCAGTAAATTAGGAAGGATTTAGTATCATTGAATGTAGCCAATAGTGATTCATTGATTCAATGATATTTTCGTTTAGGATCGAGCTCTATTCAAGATATTTCAATGCATAAATAACAAAACCACAACCTGTCAGAATGAAGCCAACTACCCTCTGCATTCCTGCTTCGAGTGCATTTACGGTTATGTATGTTTTTGTTCACCAGTTTCACTTCTTCTTCTATATTTTTTTCATTCGTTAGCAATTTGCTAGCTATTATTCTTCAACATCAGCTATTTCCAGACTAGATTCAGAATGTACGTCACTGTTTGCCGGCCCGAAAATTCGGAATTGCTTTAATTTGAAAATCAAAACGAGTTGGACTTTATCGGTCGCCATTCTGTACAGCGTGGACATAAAACTGGAGAGTTCCGAACTCATTTTATGAAAATACATCGAAAGAAAACTTCCCCATTATCTCGGAAACTATAGCTGACCAAGTTCCTCGAATGAGATGCCATTTAGAAGATGATTAAATGCCCCTTCAAAGAAGGTATCACTTGACCCCCGAAATGCGAAGGTTTGGTCTCACCCTCCCTAGAGGGTTGAAGTTGCAGTGTTAAAATATCTCCCCTTGACAAATCTAATTATTTTGGTCTGTTTCGTTTCAAATGGTGAACCCTGTACAATGTAGGGTTCAAGTTTCGTTTAGCTGAAATCAGTTATGGAAAATTTGTTGTTATGGCAACCATTGTCTTGGTAACAGGTAAACAGAAAACAAAATCCCGTGGTGAGGAAATGCATGCTTGCCAAATTGTATCGGGTTTAGTATAGCTGAAATCAGTTATGGAAAAACTGTTGCCATGGCAACGATCGTCATGGTAAGGAGTAAACACAAACGCAAACCCGTGGTGAGGAAATGCGTGATTGCCAAGTTGTATCGGGTTCAGTTTGGCTGAAATCAGTGATGGAAAACTATTGCCATGGTAACGAGTAAACAAAAATCATATTCCCGTATATTAATGTCCCTTAAATTTGGACTTCTAACCTAACTCGGCCTAAATGAACCTTCTTAGAAAAAATATATTTTTCAACATCGATCAGATTTGGTAGCAAGGCATCGTTCGTGTGTGTTTGAAGACTGCATAAAAAAGGACACTACTTTTTCCAAACAATCTAACCTGACTCGACTTAAATCAACTTTCTTCTTGAAAAACATATATTTTCCAACATCGTTCAGATTTGTTAGCAAGGCATCGTTCGTGTATGTTTGAAGACTGTTACTGAATCAAAATGTGCGGGTGAAGAAAGGTATGAGTGAATCGAAATGAAGGCAAATGGAAATGGGTGTGTGGGCCTAACGAGATATTTCTATCTGTATCAGACAATCAGTACCTGTAGTCTCTCTTCCTATATCCTGCGCGATACCTCGTAATTCATATTCCAAAATGGCTCTGTTTCTTTTTGATTTTGTCGAATAGCTCGGCACGCGAAGGATACTTACATTGAATAGTGTTTTTTAAATTAATGAATGAAGCAATATTTTTCTGATACAACTTGGCAAACCACGCATTTCCTCACCACGGGAATAGGATTTTTGTTTACTAGTTATTATGACGATCATTGCCATGGCAACAGTTTTTCCACAACTGATTTCAGCTAAACGAAACTTGAGCCCAATGTAGAAATTTCCGATTTGAAAATTTCATTTACAAATTTTCAAAAGTTTCGCATTTACGGCTAAGTGAAATATTCCGACCGATTTTGAAACTATGCAATTGTGAATTCCAATCGTCCCAACCCTACCTGGACATAGTCGAAGCCCTTCTGGTTCACCCGCAGCTTGAAGCTCAACTCCCTGTTCAACCCCAAATTCTCCAAGGTGAACGAGCAATGCAAGCTGTTGCTGTTGGCCTGCCACAGGTGCCTGAACGGAATCTCCTGATAATTGGAAGCCGGCTTCGCCCTCCAACCTTCGCTGATGTTGTCCAGAGCCAGGCACAGGTTGTTGTTGCCGTCCTGGAAGGTTATGGTTCTGGGTTCGTCCAAGAGGAACCCGCCCAGGCGTTTCTCCTGGCCGAAGACAGTCTCCATGGAGCTGTCGGTGTCCTCCAGGATGTACACCCTGTAAGAAAGGCAATTTACGCTCAAAAGAGATATTGTCTTTTTGCTTTGAAGACATTCTTTAAAAAAATATCCTTTTTTCTGTGACAGGAAAAAAGTTTGGCGTTTCATCTCTTTTGGCAGGTTATAAAATGTCATAAATTACTTTTTTCCCGTGGGAAAAATGTGAGTACTTTTTTCCCGGATATACAGGGTAACTCACGGTCGATGGTACGTTAGACGTTTATGGAGAACGGGACATAGGATCATTCTGAAATTTTGGTTACTCACGTAGTTGCTCTTGTTCTATCGATCTAAAATATTTTCAGCTCTGCGGCGTTGCCGCTTCTATCGAAAAGTAGAAACAACTTTGTTATTTTAAATGGAACACCCTGTTTTTCATTTCATTTTCAGATTCTCTCTGATTTCATCGATGCATCACACTTGGGGTCTAGCGGAAATGATTACAGAGATATAGGGTGTGAAAAATCGTCATTTTTCAACTTTAGGAATTTTTTTTGTCGGAACTATTCATTATTGGTCAAAACGGCTCACATGTCCCTATCTCAACTTTTGATTAACTATCTACTGATATTTAATTGGGACATATACCGGGTGATCAAGATTCTGAATTCTGCACAACCCTGTATTTGTTTCAATTAAATGTCAGTAGATAGTTGATCAAAAGTTGAGATAGAGACATGTGAGCCGTTTTGACCAATAATGAATAGTTTCGACAAAAAAATTCCTAAAGTTTAAAAATGTCGATTTTTCACACCCTATATCTCTGTAATAATTTCCGCTAGACCCCAAGTGTGAGACATCGATGAAATCAGCTCTTCAGAGAGAATCCGGAAATGCAATAAAATACAGGGTGTTCCATTTAAACTAACAAAGTTGTTGCTACTTTTCGATAGAAGCGGCAACGCTGCAGAGCTGAAAATATTTTAGATCGATAGACCAAGAGCAACTACGTGAGTAACCAAAATTTCAGAATGATCCTATGTCCCGTTCTCCATAAACGTCTAACGTACCATCGACCGTGAGTTACCCTGTATATCACATATGTGTACACTGTTGATGGCTTTTGTTGTGCTATAGTTCCGAAAAATGAGTTAATAATACCGTCTCCGAGAAAGAACTGCAAGTTCTTTTATTTTCCATTCGACTTAGCGGTTACGTATATTACTAAACAACCACTAAATTAGCAATTTTTTTAAATCAAATCACAGAATTAGACTGACAGAAATGACATCAGATATTTGATTACTTCAAAAGAATGATGAAGATGCCTACAACATAGGTGTCCCTACTGTTAAAAACTCAAAATATCACGTCGATAATTTCCATATTTCAAAATAATGTAATATCCTCTCAATATTGATTCGTCCTTTCTTCTGTCACAGAAAAAAATAGTGTATTATACATGGGAAAAATATTAGATTTTAGCTCACGGTTTTTTGTCTCCCGACGCGGATTGTAACATTCTTTTAATCATTGAATAATTTGACCACGCAGTTGATGGCTTTTGTTGCTGTACCAGTTCAGAAAAATAGGCCAATACCACTGTTTTCGAGAAAGAACTGCATGACTTTTTCATCCTCCATTCCATGAATCTTGAAAACGCAGTTTCGTAAATTTTCCGCGATTCTGCTGGCAATTATTTTTGTGAGGCTTCTTTCGCTGCTTCAACTAACTCCGGTGGAGTAAGAGAAATCTCGAATTCAGACATTTAATATTATTCAAAATAACTACTAAATCACTATATGAGTTCGCAATGATTTTCAAATCAAAAATCAAACCACAGAATTAAATTGACAGAATATGACAATAGAATGACATAACAACAAACATGCCTACAATGGAGGTGTAAGAACTACAAATTTCACATTAATAATTTTCTGATTATATGTAATATCTTTTCAATATTGAAGCGTCTTTCTTTCAGTCACAGAAAAAAATAGTGTATTATACAAGGGAAAAATATTGGATTTTAGCTCACATCACAACCTGGAACTAAAATCTACTACTTTTTTCCCTTCTAAAAACATAACCTCAATTTTGTGCGATCACTTTGAATTAAATGAAAAGGTACCTGACGTTGTAGTCCCCCGAGGTTTGGAAGCAAAGCTTCGGCGCGAAGATAGCCAGCTTCAACCTTTTGATGGCGCAGCCGTTCAGCGATCTGCCCACGATAACGAACCTAGCCAGACAATCAGTCACCAGGTACGCAGCCTGCTTGTCCAGCTGGCAAAACACCAACGTGTTGATGGTCTCCTGGCCCAAGGTCACCGCATTCTGCCACTGGGAGTCGCTGCAATCGCTCTGCAGCACCGAGATCGACCAGTTGTTCCTCGTGACCTCAGCACAGTGAGGTACCTGCAATGTTTAATGTTTTACCCTATATCTGATTTGATCGATATGGAATTAATAAACTTGAGGTTGTCCCAGGCAGCCATATGACGAATGATCACGTCACTGCCCAGCGAGCACAAAAACATCTCAGAGATGTTAAAAGTACGAGATTTCGAGACATTGAACCTCCACTGCGATGTTCTGTTCACACATGAATAGAACTATTATAGAACAGCCAATGTCCGCCGCAGGCGGCAATTATCGAGATGTCCTTGATATGTCACAAAACTACCTTCTCCCTAGTTCTTTTTAAAGCCTTTTCATGGACACAACAGAACATTTTTAACGCGTCTTGCGCACGTTAAATCGCTGTAAAAAAACATTTTCGAGGTACTTTTCTCAAGCCTTTTGTCAAAATGAACTTTTGCATTAGGATTCCATTTCCCTTGAAGGAAAAAATGCATTAAAAATAAATTGAACATAAAAATATTTTCTTGATATGAAATTACCTTCTTAATCGGTTTCTGAGTAGTGCTTACTACACACAGACATATAATTGCAAATAGGTCTCCCAATTTTTGAAATGTTCTCCACAATGCATAATTTTGCAACTGCGGAGAAGCTGTGTATTGATGAATTCGTACTTTTATATATTGATTACACTGAGGCACCGAACAACACATCTTGCATCTGATGGTCATTATTACAAACTAAATAAGTCTTCTAACACAATAAACTTCACCAAATTCCTTTCTGTTCGTTAGCAGCGTGATGTAAGCGTGACACGCTGCAAACGCGAATGCCAATTGCGAACAAGAAGAACAAAATCGAAAACAAATCAGAATTCATCGTATTGTGACGTAAGCATGAGACGTTGTGGTGGGGCAAACAAAGAAAGGGCACAAAAGAACAAAAACAATACTTTCAATATCCTTCTAAGACCTCTTTGGGAAATGCATATTACGCCTCAAAAAAACATCCTCATGCCTACATTTCTAAAACATCCCAGGGATACCTCTCAGTAGGCAAACAAAGAAATGCCACAGAAGAACAAAACCAATACTTCAATATCCTTCGAAGACCTCTTTGGTCAGTGCATATTACGTCTCAAAATAACATCTTCATGCCAACATTTTCAAAACATCCCAAAGCATCCCAGGGATGTTTGTGCTCGCTGGGTGTGACGTCCGTAATTGGTGATTTTTTGTTAGAGACGTCATACACCAATTTATGACGTCACTATAACGTACTTTCTATGACGTGAGAATCACTTACAGCTCGCCGACACAAACTACATAATTTTTGATATAAATACGAGTAACTGATTTCATTCTGATGGAGATGCGTACTGAGGGATAGCGCTGCTGAATAGACGATTGAATGAACATGACACCAAGCAGACTCAACAATGCATAATCAATATTATATGTCATCAGAGGTCTGTGGTGATTATCACACCATGTTCGAGGAAACTTTTTTACGTGTCATCACCAAATTTGAACGTCATTTTGACACGTCAGCCCGACGTCACAGTTTGGTGTGTGAAAGACGTCAATAAACGTGAGTAATATGACGTCATTGGGCTGTGACTTTTCCACGTCATTTATCACGTCATACGACGTCAACTCCTGACGTCACCTTGGTCATTCAACTGACGTAAAAAAACGTCACTGAAACGTCATCTGGTTGCCTGGGTGTCAATGTAATGGATGTCGATTTGATTTGGGGCCATCAATGGCGAGGCTAAGGGATAGGATGGCGGGGTTAAGTAGTAGGAAAGCGGGGCAATATTGCGGGGAATAAAGAAATTCTATTTCAAAAATATAAAACTAATATTCTAAGAAGAATATCACAGTACCTTGAGCACCACGGCCTTGTTGAGGCTGACGTTAGGCCCACAGGAGACTACAGGGCCCAGCTGGGTTAGCCCTTCGGCTAATTTGGGCCTGAAGCAGTCCTCGTTGAGGATGGAGAGGAAGAGCTCTTGCTTGCGGGACCTGGATAGTTGAGAGTCTTATAATATTAGGAAACGGAAATATCCTAAGCGGTGTAGACCTCAGAGTAACTAAACGACGCAACACTAATTTCGTCGCACCACAAAATTTTGCCTCTGTTGAAATATGAATCACTTTTTTTTGCATTGAACGATTCGAATTCGGATCACACTGTTCGCTAGCCCAGTCCTTCAGCTATAAATCTCGTAATTCTTTGAAACATAAGATTCTTCACTTAAAATCGCTACAATGTGTTACCTGAAACTGTGCAAAATTTCGGAAATTTCGAAAGTATCCAAATGAAGAAAACCTTTTTTTTTATAATTTGACAGTAGAGGAAAAACTTAGTGTTGCGTAGTTCAGTTAAAAAGAGTGATTTATTTTGCTTATAACTTCTACGGAAAAGACATCACATTCTAAGGAGCGATGAGGAACCGCTGCCAAATCGATAATTCAAGAGGATTTTTCGAAAAGAACATGTTATCCAATTCTGACAACTCTATAACATAATAATACACTCATATAACAACATAAAATTGTCAGAAATTCGCTACCAATGATTATTATATATGAACTCATTTAATTATATTGAAAAATAAAACATAGCACGATGAAAAATATGAATTATTTAAAGATGAACGTTGCGGTACCGCAAAGTTTCGTACTAGACGAGCAATAATCGTTATAAGAATAAATGTCATTAATCGTTTTTGTTGTTATCAATGGTTTTACGGCTGTTGTATCATTAGTTTTCGATGGTTCATCAACTCATTCAATATTATAAATCTAAAGCAGACTACTTATTTGTGAATAAATATGGCTCGGCAATGTCAAATCTTAAAGAAAAGTTATTTACAAATATCCCAACCTGATATTTCACAGGTACGTAGAAATTTGGTGTTGTTTGGTCGCTTGCTTTTGTTGATAAAAAGCGTGTTCAAAATATTGAGAATTTCAAACAAAAACGTTACAGAGTAATCTATTAGTATTATGTTACAAAAGCGTGAAAGTTAACTTATCAATGGAAACACGTTCATAGAAATCTCGATTTATTAGGTACATCAAATACATCATTGAAAAATATCAATGTCCTGGCAATTATCCCCACCATTCACGATGTAACTCATGATTTATCCGTGCTTGGCGTTTAGGATTGTTGGCGTATACTTTTGAATAATTTATGAATGAATTACAGTGTCTAATTGCAGTATTGTCATCTAGTCTGATAGGCAGGTGCTGTTCGGGTATTTTCGTTCCTGAATATTGGAAGAAAGTTTTTTTTCATTCTCGAGATTATATGTTCTATGTTTTCAAGATTTTAGTAAGTTGTTGTTGAGCAAATAAAGGAAAAAAAAGACGGTAAGACTCTTCACCTGGATAAGGCGCCTTCGGGCACTAAAAGGCTGACGTTCGACTCCGGTAGGTTGAGACAGCCGCCCGCATGGCTGAGCGTGGCGCTGGTGTAGTTGCCACCAGTGGTGGGGGTCACGGCGTAAGCGGTGGGGAGAGGAGCAATCGGGATGGTCACAGTGTCGGTGGCCACTTCGTAGGTCGAATCAGCTGGAAAAATGAAAAAAACATCAATATTCATACATTTAAAGTTCTACTTTAGCTCCTAGGAACGAAAGTTAAACTTTAGCTCCTAGGAACTGAAGTTCAACTTTAGCTCCTAGGAACTGAAGTTCAACTTTAGCTCCAAGGAACTAAATGTGTTGCCTAGCAACATACCTATTTTTGTGTCAGAAAAAAATTTCTTTTTCCAGGTTCGCGTTGAATTAACTTACAGTTGTTGGTGAGTCCGCTCATCTGGCTGCGTTTGCCGCTGGAAGAACCTAAAGTGGAACTGGTGGCAGGCGACATCTGGATGTCGCTGCCGGAAGTCAGATGCGGCACGTCGTAGTGGTGTTCGGAGACGGATCTGGTGACACTGGTGGCCGAGGGGGTCGTGTAAGGGTACTCGTAGCAGGGGGGTACGGTCTGCGTGAGATCCGGCTGCAGCGATAGCGACTTCTTGTCGGGGTCAGGAAAAAATTCCGGATGGTAATCTAGAACAAAGAAAAAGAAAACAATTTTTTCAGAGAAATTAGAGAGATATTCATATTGTAAGTTCAAATCACCCCATAAATGAATGGATAGGAATGCCTTATTATAACATGATGGCGATTCATCGGTTACTTATTCATCAGCATCAGAACGAGACAATCATCGTTGTATTTCATAAGCGGTCTTCTGTGTACAAGCTATCGTGAGTAAATAAATGTGTTTAGTTCAAGTGTGTAAAATAGGTCTATATACGATTCCTCGAATTATAATCTAACAATATACCTACCCTAATCTCCTTAGCTCGATGAAAAAACAATTGACATCCCCAACAGCACCACTGGAATTCAAATTAGCTCAAACCTCAAACACACTCAATATCTATTTGCTTTGCTATTAGATCAGACATTTAGTATGTACAGGGTGTGCCAAATTGGTCACTTTTAAAGGGAATGTCTTATTCTCCAATATATATTTGCTTTGCTATTAGATCAGACATTTAGTATGTACAGGGTGTGCCAAATTGGTCACTTTTAAAGGGAATGTCCTATTCTCCAACTAGATAGAAGAAAACTGGGTCGATTCTCATGCGAAACTCAATGGTGAAAACCGCATATCGATATCTGTCTTATAGTTCGGAGTTACAAGGTGTTCTTCGAAAATGGACATTTTTGAAAAGTGGCTACAATTTTTTTGCGCAAAAATTGTATGTTCTCATGAAAATAACTGCAATGCATCAAGTTTGTGATGGAAATCATTTCTGAGGCACTAAAATCGGCCTTCCTATGTCTCGTTCAAGAATAAAACTTGTTTTTCTTGAAGTTTTCTTGAAGGAAAAGTTCTATTTGGAAACTAGGTATATGGTGACTGATTTCAGTGCCTGAGGATCAATTCTCCTGACAAACACAATGCTTTGGAAATGTTTTCTATGACAACGAAGAATTTTTGACAAATAATGAGTTTCAGCCACTTTTCGAAGATTTATATTTTCGAAAAACACCTTGTAACTCTGAAACGAAGATATACAGTGTGTACCACTTACCATGCTCACCATGGGTATCTTTTTAACGGTGAGAGATACGAGGTCGGTTAAATGACACCAAATGTGGCGTTTGTCAAGGCCAACTATAATGTGAAAAAATATTTTGATAAAATCTATTCGTTTTTGTTTTATACGCAAAAATTAGATTTTGATCATAATCATGTCTCCTCCGTAACTTCTTTATTTATAGAAATATTCAAATAGGAATTTACATTCTCATGGCAGTTTTTCGAAGTGATTTTGAAAAAAATATGAAAATTATACCAACTCTTCTAGAATTAGAAATATCAGCACCAACTTCAGTTTTTCAAATGTAGGTCATAGCTCACTTTGACTTAGTTACAAATAACTTTTTTTTCTCTTACAGATGATATGTCGCAGTAATAGTTTTGTGTTGATAACAACGGAGTTATCGTCATTTAGACAAAAACAAATAATTATTTGGAAGCCGCCATCTTGAATTTATGAATTTTAACAAAAAAATCATGATCTCCGACCTCAAAAACCCCCACTCACCAATTTTGAATGGAATCGGACCAAATCTTGTCCGCCATCTTGGAGCAGCCATTTTTTTTTAATTTCAACAAAAATTCCATAACTCCGATTAACTTGAAATTTGGCAGGTGTTCATGATTTCGGTGACAAAGCATTATGGAATTTTTGTTGAAATTTAAAAAGATGGCTGCTCCAAGATAGCGGACAAGACGTGGTCCGATTCCATTCAAAATTGGTGAGTGGGGGTTTTTGAGGTCGGAGATCATGATTTTTTTGTTAAAATTTATAAATTCAAGATGGCGGCTTCCAAATAATTTTTTGTTTTTGTATAAATGACGATAACTGCGTTGTTATCAACACAAAACTATTACTGCGACATATCATCTGTAAGAGAAAAAAAAGTTATTTGTAATTAAGTCATAGTGAGCTATGACCTACATTTGAAAAACTAAAGTTGGTGCTGATATCTCAAATCCTAGAAGAGTTGGTATAAATTTCATATTTGTTTCGAAATCACTTTGAAAAACTGCCATGAGAATATGAAATTCCTATTTGAATATTTTCATGAATAAAGAAGTTATGGAGGAGACATGAAAATGATCAAAATCTGTTTTTTGCGTATAAAACAAAAACGAATAGATTTTATCAAAATATTTTTTCACATTATAGTTGGCCTTGACAAACTCCGACCTCGTATCTCTCACCGTTAAAAAGATACCCATGGTGAGCATGGTAAGTGGGACACACTGTATATCCATATGCAGTTTTCACCATTGTGTTTGTCATGCATGTGAATAGATCAACAGGCACCAACATCATATTTTTCTGTCTAGTACGGCGATAGGACTTTCCTTTTGAAAGTGTCCAATCCAGTGCTGGGTCCAACGAGGAAATGTAATTGAAAATAATATAAAAAAAAAATACGGCCCACCCTGTACAGTCTCTGATAATCATTGAGAGAATTCCTTTTTTTTCTCTAAATTTAACGAACTTTTAACGAACTGTATCTCGGAAACATAGCTTTTTACGACCAATGTCCAATGGAATCCCTTCTATTTAAATTATCGTCTTATACATAGTGGAGGATCACCTATAATGCAATAGAATAAATGAAACTGTCTATCAAAGTATCTCGACAGTAGAAAACTGATAAACTCTGCATGCTGCGTAAAAAAATCAGATAATTATCTTAGGGTAGACAGAAAATTTCAGGAGTCCAAGTATCAAGAAACACATCGATCAACTGCTGATTCTTCGCTCGGATTTTTCAGCTGGCTTGATGAATGTCTGGCAGTCATTTCGACAATCGCGTACCCCATTACGAGACGTCTCAGACAAAGAGCCAAGAGAAACATCATCATCTTTCCTGTGGGGCCCTCTGATGATTGATAGTTCTCCTTGATGACGTATCGCTTTCAGACTTCATTTATCACAATAAAGCTGCCTCGGCATCTCGATGACATCGATAATCTTTATTCGGGTTCAGGATGAACAGAAGATGGTGTAGAAATTCCTATCAAATCCCATATACTGTTTTTCGGTCAAAGTTCTTGACCTACGGCCCACTTGACGGAAGTTTTTTTCAATATCGCGGAATATAGGTCACATTTCACCCGTTGGATGGCGAAATTTCAACCAAGATTCAAGGTTGGTAGAACTGATGATAATTAAAATTCCCCAAAATTACAGTTTCATACTTTCTAATTTGATCTCATTCTCATTTGATTTGAGGGTATGTTATGAATGTTATAATATTATTATTTCTGGTGCAAGTGGTGATGTGTAAGCATAGTTTTCTGTTTTTTGTCATGAAAGAAATCTGTAAAATGTGTCGCCATCTTGCGGACAACTGAGAACTAAAATGCCATTATTGCGGACTCTGCGGTCAAGCGTTTTGGGAGAAACTAAACACTGTCTGTGATTACACCATATTCTATCCACCTTGTTCGGGTTATTCGGATAGTTTTTATTATTTATTTTATGAATTAAAATTCGCCAAAAAGTTTCAAGAATATTCAGCCTTACCACTCGTATACAGGGGTTTCGTAAAGTACTGAACAAATTCATTCTTGGCAAAACTAACCATTTCTGCGGAATCTTCTGAAATAGGTGAATTTTTGATCACGATTTTCCACATTTATTTGGAAAAACAATGAGATACACAGTGATCCATTTTTGAGTAATGACGAACGCGGCAATTTTTTCGAACGGAATACCCTATATATTATTAAATTTCTGGAATCTCCATGGGAAGCTGTATTCAAAAATATATATCACACGTAGGGCTTGTATACACTGCGTCCGTTAAATTCAGTGCTCTTGTAAAGAGGAGTTACCATTAAAAAAAATACCGATGACTTCATCTTACACGAATCATTCTGTATGTACTAATTAAATTCAAAAGAATGCCTTAGTCGAAACAAAACTCGACCAAAATAGTACAAAATGTTGTTTTTTGTGCAAAATAATGTATTTAAATTTTTCTTAGCAGAACGCTTTCGTGAGTAAGTAATCAGCTATTGAAATAGACATCATAGAAAAGTGAAATATATTTTTTGAAGAAAGTTAAATTTAAATTTGAAAATTAGCGAAGTTGAACCTTTCAGCTATTGATTAACTTCACTAATTTTCAAATTTAACTTTGTTCGAAAAATAAATATCAATTTTCTCTGATGTCTTTTTCAATAGCAACTTTCAGAGGACCTCACGATGACGAATTTCCATCGTCAAGTAACCAATATAATATTTAGGAAGCACTTGTCATTATGAATTCACCACTATATATTCGATTAGGTTTCGTTTTCTTAACCATCATAAGAAATTAATTTGATAGGAATCTGTATAATCTCATAATTTTGAATTAATAGATTCAAGCCATAAGTTGAGCACATAGATTCAAGCAGCTCTATACGTTTCACAGGTCCCTCATAAATTTTCAACATTTTCAATTTGAAAATAAAAAAAAAACTTTTGCTCTGCATGAAATAACTATTTCTGTTCAGCAACAAAATTGAATAGGGAAATCAAGTAATTGGGAATAATCGAAATAGAAAATACGTGGAGAAATGTCAGAAATCAGAAATTACTTCCTGATGGTTAAAACATTACGATTCTGAAACTGCCGATACCGATCGCAAAAAATTCATCAATTCTTGAGTTGACCACCATTTAACACCATACATACATATATCTCGAGGATTGAACTCTTCGAGATCTCATATCCCTATTTTTTCCATAATAAAATCAAGAGGACCCTGTTAGACGAGATCAATACAGGGTCTCTATAAATGATCGTAACATCGTAGTGGCTGTTGACATTTTTTTTCCATTTGCCGCTTTCTACTAATGCTGTTAACAACATTTAACGACCAAAAAGAGAGGAAGTGATCATATACAGGATCTTTTTTTATATAGTTTTGCATACACTATGGAAATGTATCTCAAAGAAAGGAGAGTCCAATATTGAAG